TGCTCTGACACAGCTGTGAATCTCATTTTCTTTTGAAGGATGAATAGTTTTATATCAAAGGCTTATAAGGTCAAAGTCCTTTTGTTGATTTCACATTTTAGAGTTTGTAACTTTAAAAAAAAAGAGTAGACCTGTGGCACCTTAGAGAAATATACTGTAGATACTGTAGATAGTATCATGAGCTTTTGTGGGCAAAACCCACTTCTTCAGATGAGCTTGAGTGGAGGGAAAAAAGAACATATTACAGTTCATTACTGTGTCTAGATCCTGAACATAAGCTTCAGCTCAGGACCTATTTAAAGCATCTGTAGAGAGCTGGACCATTATTACTACCTGCATCATTTCCATTTGCCTTTGGTAGAAGGTTTCACCCAGCAATAATCCAGCAAAGAGTCCACACTTCTGAGTTGCTATTTCTTTAAGTCCCTACTATTGCTGGACTGGTATAAGACTTGAAGAAAGTGTATTTTATTCTTGAAAAATTACTTTTTCTTTATTTCTCTGTATTAGTCTGACAGTCTTTCTGTGTGTGGAGCTGGCAGCAGACTTACACTTACAGTCCAAAACTGCTGCATGAGAGCTGATGTTCCTGTGGGCAAAAATTGCAATAGAAGTCTGAAAACTGATCAAAAATAGAATATTATTGTCTGGTGGAGCTCTTTGGTGGGACGTATTCATCAATGGTATATATTGTACGGGGGGGGTGCAAATTAAAAGGAAGTTGAACTGACCCAAGAGATCCAGGTTTCCACTGTTCCAAAGATAATGGAGGACTTTAACATTGTGACTTCTCAGGTTGTGCTGGGACTATTGATGAATCTCATTTTCTACTTCTTTGTCCTTAAAATTAGTCCACAGATTTCTACAAACATTAGTCTTACTGGCTCTGGTAAATCTTAGAGAGCTCATCCTGGAACTCACGCTAGCTGACCAGACAAGATTCATGATGTGGGAATGTTAAAGAATTCCTGCCTGTCACAGGCACAAAGGCTATGTCTACACTGGCATGAATTTCCGGAACTGCTTAAAACGGAATACTATTCCGTTTTCAGTTTTTCCGGAAAAGGAGCGTCTACATTGGCAGGCTGCTTTTCCGGAAAAGCCCTTTTTCTGGAAAAGCATCTGTGGCCAATGTAGATGCGCTTTTCCGGAAAAGAGCCCCGATCACCATTTTCGCGATCGGGGCTTTTTTCCTGAAAAGACTACTGGGCTGTCTACACTGGCCCTTTTCCGGAACAGTGTTCCAGAATAAGGACTTATGCCCGAGCGGGAGCAGAATAGTTTTTCCGGAATAGTGGCTGATTTTGCTTTTCCGGAAATTCAAGGGCCAGTGTAGACAGCTCGCAGCTTATTCCGGAAAAGCGGCTGATTTTCCGGAATAAGTAGCCCAGTGTAGACACAGTCAAATAGTTTTCACCAGCAGGGACTTTAATGGTGTTTCTGTGCCAGTTGTGGGGAGCTAACCTATCATTTGCTTCCTTACACAATATAACTATAGGTATCTGGTCTGTGAGCACTTCAGCCAGCACCTTAGTCATGCCAAAGTGGAAAACTGAATGGAAGGGAGAGGTGCATATCTAAGCAAAATGGCATTCAGTTCTACCCATTTTCTCAGCTAGCTGTGAATCCTGTGATTACTCTTGCTGACCATGCTGAGCTGGTTAGCATAACAAAGGGTGCACTATGATAATATATTTTACTTAAACTAACACTTAGCTCACCCCTAGAATCCATCTCAACCACTTGATAGATAGAATTATAGAATCATAAAATACAGCCAGTTGCCTTGTTTAGATTAGTGTTTTTAAAAATGTGATAGGCCACGTCTCTACTTGCAGGAAGATCAGTGCCGCGGCAGTCAATCTTCTGGAGTTTGATTTAGCAGGTCTCGTAAAGACCGACAGCTCTCCTGTTGACGCTGGTACTCCTACTCCTCACAAGAAACAAGGGAAGTTGACAGAGCGTTTCTTTCGTTGGCCTCCCACTGTAAGGAGGTTGTTGAAGCTCCGCTTAAAGTACATTGACTTCGGCTACGTTTTTTTATGTGGTTGGAATTACAAACCTTAAGCCAACTTAGCTCAAATACTAATAGCAGTAAAGCTGCAGCCACAGGGGCTAACCTGTGCAGCTTCAGCTTCACTGCTATCTTTTCTAGTAAAAAAAGATACATTCTCAACTCAGGTTAATTAACTCAAGGAAAATCCTGTTGAAAACAAAGTAGTTTGTACTTCTCATGTGAATTAGAAAGTTGACTGAAAGACTGGGCTCCCTTATAATTTTTAGCTCAACCAGCTAACTTGCCTGAAAATTACCTACTGCCTTACTTTCACTAGCATTTTGCTTTAATTTAGTTACCTAATTTTGCCTAACTTCAGAAGAACACACCTTTTATTGTAGTGACAGTGAACACTGAGCTACAAGCAAATTGTACATAACAGTATTTTTTTACACAACCTGTTTTTCTTTCCCTGTTCTCCGTGACTGAAGAATTCCATTATTAATAATGTTATTACAATCTGCCTGGCTTGCTTTAAAGCTTCCTTATCTCTCTCTCTTTGTTACTCTCATTCCTCTCTTACTCATTAAGGCTTTGGAATATCTTTTCAAGTTCATTGTCCAATCTCGGATCCTTTACTCCAGAGCTACTTGCGGAATGGAAGAGGAACAATTTCGTGCCAGTATCCAAGAGCTATTCCAGTCCATCAGATTTGTTCTCAGCTTGGACAGCAGGAGTTCAGAGACTCTCATCTTCACACAGGTTAGCTCTTTTTCTATATGTGAATACAACTGGCAGTGCAGAGGCTGTTATTTTGTGTACAATCAATGTATTCATCTGATAGTACTGACATAATTTTTTTCTCTTACGGGCTGATTTTATGTAATGAGTGACAGTTGCACAGTAATTTTGGACAGTAAATCTGCCCCTGTTCATAATGAAGAGTAGCTGGGCAGTTTTACAGTGAAGGGAGACTAATGTATTACCATGTTGTGTGGTTAGAGTAGACCTTCCTTATTCTTTTTTATGTTAAGTGTTTCATTCATAAGTATGTCTCGGAATTGGCTCAGAGGAACTTCAATTCCTTTTTAGTCACAGAGAAAAGTAACAGCTCAATTCAATACAGTAGGTCTCAGCAGCTGCATAGTGGAAAAGTTTGATTGGTGTATAGTTAACAAGTAGGAAACCATAGAAAAATGTAGCATCCTCAGTTTAACCACGACTGCTGGAATCAATTGTGGATTCACTACTGCCATATTATGATATCCTTAATGAGGTTTGGTAGCACCTTACTCTGCAAATAGTCCCATTGACTTCGGTGGGACTTCACATAGGAGAAGACACTCCTCTGTGTAAGTGGGGATATCCCAGTTTGGCTCTGAGTTATTATAAGGATCACTATACTAATATTTAAAATTTTACATTTTAAACAGTAGGGTCTTTTGCTATATGTACATTCCCCCGCTCAGAGGCTCTCCGAATGTGATGTGCACAGAGCTGACTGGTAACATGGTGCTGTTTCTCCACATTCTCAGTTGCTCAAATGCATTAACAGACAGTTACAGATGCATGTAACATTGTCCTAATATGGCATTTCAATGGAAGCAATTGCTGTAGTTGTTACCAGTTACGTTTCATTATCCCAGTGGGTGGGAAAGTGTTCAGTCAGCAAGACGATCTCTCTCGATCTCTCTCTCTCTCAAGATGTGGTCCATATTATGAAAAAGTTGGAGAACTACTGCTGCAATCTTTGGATTAATCTTATGGGCCAGGCTCATCAGAATCACTCTGCAATGTTCTACCATGAAACTGACATTAGGGGAAAATGGTGTCCAGGCAAACCACTCTTTTGTTCTTCATTTGGGCTGTCACAAATACATAAAGGAAACAACTGAGGATGGGATTGTTCCCTTCCCCCAACCCTGGGTTACTACCGTCTTTCTTAATGTCTTAATTTTAGGCTTTTGTATATTTATAAAACCTGCCCTGTTTAATATTTGAAGTTTACTTTCTGTTTCCCACTTGCCATTATGTTGCCCCCTTGACCCTAATTGCCCCCTAGGCCCCTCAGCCTGGAGGACAGGTTAGCGGAGCTGGAACATGTGCCCCACAAAAATGTGGTGGTACTTCAAGGCCGTCGTTTAATTCTGTAAGTAATGATCACCTAACCTGCACTATTCTT